TGTCTTCAAATACTGCTAAATGTACCTTGGGTGGCAAAGTCACCACTAGTTGAGAACTACTTGCTAAGCAGAGTCTGTCATACTAGGGTTTGGAATTATTTGCTTTTAAATTAAATTTGCTTTTGAATTGCATTTTCTTCTTTTGCTTATTTTAAAACCTATTTAGGGTTTCTATTTGATTTTTAGAAAGTTTGTTTCTATTTGGTTTTTAGAAAGTTTGTTGCCCGATTCTCTGAAATTCTATCCTTTTGCATCAGCAATGTTCCTGTTTAGCCTTCTAAGATAATTCAGGCAACTGAGACAAAAACGGTTAACCCCCCAATCCTGAGTGTTTGCAAACAATTGAGAGAGAAAATTTAGGCCAGTTTTGCTCTGGCTGGGTGACAAATCCCAGTTTCAGCTGACTTAAACGTAAGAGGAATTTATGAAAAGAGAAGACTGAAGAACCAGGCTCAGAAAAAAAGGCATACCCCAAGGAAGAATGGGCAGTGATGAAGAGTTAAGGAGAACCCACAAATTGTCTAGTAACCAGACTTGCCAACTTGACTCAGTCTCCTTCTAGATTGGCAGAGAATGAACATCTAATTGCCTAAATTTAGGTTACATGCCTAAAGTACCAGGCAGTGGGGAGAAAATGCCTTGTCCTCTCTGGATTTCATAGTAGGAATTGGGGCCCGACTTCTCTCTAGGACTCATCCTAGGGGAACTGCAATCTCATAAGAAGGAAGTTCAGATGCTGGACAGCCCAAGACAGAGCAGAACAAAACAATGCCACAAATACACTTTTGGGTACTTTATATTGGTCTGTAAGTGGGAATTGTGTATTTTCATGAATTATACAGAGACAGAGCTCACATCGGGCCTGAGTGGGATAGGCACTTGGTTACCAAATGATTTTGTTATTCATATGAGGCCTTGTTTTATTTTCTTAATAACCTGTTATGTTCCATGTTTTATTTTAGGTTTGCATTTTCAGCTTTTAGATGAGATTTAGTTTTTGATTAAAACCTTGTTCTTATTACTTAGGCATATTGTTACACCCTCATTTTATTAATATCAAGGCCTAAGAGACTGGTAAATTTTAATTGGTATACAGATTCAGAAGCTTATTTATATAATATAAAAATGTTATCTATATCAACATATTGAATGTGATTCATAACCGAACATCAGAGTTGAAGAAAAAGCTTTAGAGAAACCTAAAATCAGAAGAGTTAAATAATAGTGGTGGTTCTTCTCATTTGTTTTCTTTTTGATCAGTTACATAAGTATTTATGATAAATACACATCCACATTTTGCTTAAAAGTTTCTTTTTGCTAACTCATTTTGATTTTCTTCAGTCTAGACTCTTAGACCCTGTTGAGGTTTGTACTGGTTCATTGGTGTCAGTTTAGCCTGTCATCAAAGTACTTAAAAGGTCTGTTTCCCTCACCTGCTTATGGCGTCGGATTCCCCAGGCTTTTCTTCTCTAAAGCACTAAAGGAAGAACTGTTAGGAAAGAAGGAGTCATTGTGCCCCACTTTGATTACCAGCTTCTGGTTCCCTGTGGCCTTTATTTTATTTAGGTAGAAAAGAAACAGAAAGATTTAATGAGTAATGCCACTGCGAACAAACAAAAGGAAGTGCCTTTGTACTTTACTTGCTTTAATCTCCCTGGTCTCCTTTCTACTGGGAGTTTCTGGCTAGGTAAAACTTAAGTTAGTTAGCATTTCTTATTTAATTAGTGAACCAACAATTTTAGGCTAAATTGTTTCAGTGACATGAAGGATCTAAAGATTTTATAGGATGATTCAGAAGTACAGCTTTTCTGAAATTGTCGTCTTTGATATAGATCTGATCATTTAAACAACCCTTTAAGATTTTTGTGGACATTTGAGCCTGATTTGAGATCTGTCATTCATTCAACAAATATTTATTTTGTATGCCAAACCCTGTTAGGAGCAAAGAGATACAGGTAGAAGGAATGTAGAAGGGCCCATTCCCTGTTTTTAAGGAGCTAAAAAAGACATGTAACTGTTACGGAACAGAAAGAGTTTGCCCATCTAGCAATAGTAGAACCAAACATTAAATACTGAGAATTGTAGTGGAGAAATATTGGCTATTTCATTGATGAATGGCGCCATCCAGGAGAATGGGAAACCAATGCTTTAAAGACCTGACTCCCCAGTGGCATGTAGGTTACAGGTTATATAGGGCAAAATTATAAGACACTGTGGGTTAGGTGTTCAGGGTCATGTTAGGAGCTGATTGGTCAGAGGTAAAATAAGAGGTAAGGGTAATGAATTATTTCTTCAGGTCCTGAGGACATCTCTGAGGTCCTTCCTGGTATCCCTTTGACTAGTCTCATGGGAAAGTAGCCGGGGGATCATTCCACCTTAGGAACTGAAACATAACTTAGGTCAAGATGTTATCTTTGGCCTGCCAGAGGTCTGGACCATGTGACCATTAGTCAAGTCTGGGCTACTGTCTCCTGTTGCCTTAGGGTTTGTTGATTATCTGGGGGAAAGGCTGAATCTCAGATATGTATATAGAGAGATGATTTCTAGAGCTGAGATTTAATTTAATCATAAGGACTCTCGGTTTCATAACTGTAGTAAAGGTGAAAAGGAATTTTCACTCAAAAGGCTAATCAGCTCTTTGTTCTGCTTCTGTAGATATGCTTGCTGCATAGGCTGTACTCGAAATTAACTAAAGACTCATCTTCTTTTTGCTTGTTCTAAGCAACAAATATAACTGCCTGTACCCCTTAGCAACTCCCGCACTTTGTAACCATCTGAGGACAAATTAACCAATCAGCCCATGCCAAATAAGTTCTATATAAGGAATGTTGCAACTGAGCTCTGGTCCCAGATCTTCAGAGCTCTAGCTTCTTTGGGACCGCTGGTGTAATAAACCTGAGTTCTCTAACTCTCCGAGTGCTGCTTGGTTTCTTGCTGGTCTGATTTTTGCTACTTTTCTGCAACAAAGGCTATGATGGAGATAGTGTTATATTCTGTGGAAATACATGAGAAAGCCTCCAGTTTAGACAAGGGTTAATAGGACATAGGCAGGCTTTCTGGAAGAGTCAATGCATAAAATTAGCCCAAAGGACCAAAAATGGGAAGGGAAAATTGTGAGAAGAAGGAAGTACTGCAGATAGAAGGAACAGGACGTTCAGACATACTGAGGGAAGAGAGAAACTAGTACCCACAGTGGCTTTGGCAGAAAGTGCAATACAAGGGGGTGGGGGGAGAGAGAGCTCCAGTGAACCAGAATGGAGACTGTGAGTGCCACACTATATGTTTTTACTTTATCCTGGGGGAAGTAGAGAAAAAAGAACAAAAGTCAGCCCTGTGACCTGGTTCATTCTGACCACCGTGACTCATCCCCAGCCCCACTGCACTGCACACCCCAGCTGCCCTGCCTCCTGCGGTCAGTGTCTTTGTCTTGTTCTATTCACACCTTAGAGCCTTTGTAAACCCCTGCCCTCTCCTTGAAGTAGTTTTTATTTTAGAAATTTTATGGTTCATGATACCTGGATGTTATTTTTTCACTGAGATCTTCCTCGGCCATATTAAATACAAATGTTCCCATTCACACCACTTTATACCTTCTCTTTTCTGCTTTAAAAAAAAATAGCCATTTATTGCTCTGCCATTTTTAGTATTTTATCTTCTTTAGTGTTGTTTCTTCTTCTAGGATGTAAGTTCCATTAGGGCAGAGATTTTTGTTTTGTTCACAGAGAACAGTGCTTGGTACATGGTAAACATTTCTTGAATGACGAAGGAATGTGTGAATGAAATACTGTTTGAAATTTCTAAGTGACTCTAGCTTCCTTTACTGCA